GACCAGTCTGAGTCCTGGACCAGTCTGAGACCTGACACCTGGACCAGTCTGAGTCCTGGACCAGTCTGAGACCTGACACCTGGACCAGTCTGAGACCTGGACCAGTCTGAGACCTGACAACTGGACCAGTCTGAGACCTGGACCAGTCTGAGACCTGACACCTGGACCAGTCTGAGACCTGGACCAGTCTGAGACCTGACACCTGGACCAGTCTGAGACCTGACACCTGGACCAGTCTGAGACCTGGATCAGTCTGAGTCCTGACACCTGGACCAGTCTGAGACCTGGACCAGTCTGAGACCTGGACCAGTCTGAGTCCTGACACCTGGACCAGTCTGAGTCCTGACACCTGGACCAGTCTGAGTCCTGGACCAGTCTGAGACCTGACACCTGGACCAGTCTGAGACCTGGACCAGTCTGAGACCTGACACCTGGACCAGTCTGAGACCTGGACCAGTCTGAGACCTGGACCAGTCTGAGTCCTGACACCTGGACCAGTCTGAGTCCTGGACCAGTCTGAGTCCTGACACCTGGACCAGTCTGAGACCTGGACCAGTCTGAGTCCTGACACCTGGACCAGTCTGAGACCTGGACCAGTCTGAGTCCTGACACCTGGACCAGTCTGAGTCCTGGACCAGTCTGAGACCTGACACCTGGACCAGTCTGAGACCTGACACCTGGACCAGTCTGAGACCTGACACCTGGACCAGTCTGAGACCTGACAACTGGACCAGTCTGAGACCTGGACCAGTCTGAGACCTGGACCAGTCTGAGACCTGGACCAGTCTGAGACCTGACACCTGGACCAGTCTGAGACCTGGACCAGTCTGAGTCCTGGACTAGTCTTAGACCTGGACCAGTCTGAGTCCTGGACCAGTCTGAGCCCTCCTCACTTCCTGTTTCTTCAGACACTGGCTCACTGAGGCCTACATCCTGTTTGCCACACCTTACTTCCTGTACGACATCGTGGCCATGTTCCAGGTCTACAGGCACAGGCTGCAGGTCAAAGGTCACGAGGAGGCGGGGCTTGGAGCGGCGGTGTGGGGTTTCCTGCGTCGAGAGGTTCTGATGGTCCTGCATCACGTCTTCATGGTGGCCTTCTGCTTTCCCGCCTCTCTGGTAACTATGGCAACACCGAGCTCTTCCTTCAGGACCATCATCAGGAGCGTAAAGGGGCGGGGCTAATCTTGTTGCTTCAGCTTCATTCTGATTGGTTACAAGTAATTGAGTCATGAAGAACCTCCTAACCTGAACCAGTCAGAGTCCTGAACCCTGACCCGGTTTCTGGTCCTGTCTCCAGCTGTGGCGCCGGGGCCGAGGGGACTACTTCCAGGGTCTCCTGTTCCTGGCCGAGCTCAGCACGCCGTCYGTCAGTCTGGGAAAGGTTCTGATCCAGGTACTCCTCTGGACTCTGCAGTAATCTGATTACTTCCACCTGTCCTGTTGTTTGTTTTTATCAATAAAGTTTGATTTGAATCTTTATTCAGCTGGTCCTCGTCAACAGAACTGTGTAAAAGTCTTAATCTGTCTCTGAAGTTTCAAAAGAAAAACTAAATTTTTTTCATGAGGCGTTTAAAGACCGACCTGTTCTGTTGGAAATATGAACTTCTTTAAGTTTATTTAATAATTAAAGATCAGATTTAATTAAAGTCATTATATGACTGCATATCACCTGCCGGCCTTTCAAAATAAAATGAACAGAAATAAAAATAATTTGTTTTTAACTGTAAAAATCTGATAAAGTTTTTATAAAAAGTTTAAATAAAGTTTCTTCATTTGGTCCAAATGTTCAGTTTCAGAAACAGAACTGTGTTCTTCATCGACTGAACGGACTCATCATCATCATCCTCTTCTTCTGCTGCCGGGTCCTGCTGTTCCCCTACCTGTACTGGACCTACAGCAGGTGGACCCACCTGTCTGTCCTCCTGTCTGTCCTCCTGTCTGTCCTCCTGTCTGTCCTCCTGTCTGTCCTCTGTCTGTCCTCCTGTCTGTCCTCCTGTCTGTCCTCCTGTCTGTCCTCCTGTCTGTCCTCCTGTCTGTC